CGTTGTTTTTATTCCCACGAGCAAGATTTTCAAAATATGGAGTTTTTTAATAACCGTTGAATAGAGAAAAAAATTTCATTAAGATCGGACATCGTTATCATACAGCTGCCATTGGAAAGATCGAAAATCGATCGAATCGTTGTTATTCATCAGACAAGCATACTTTTTGGAATACAGAGTTTTCTAACGACTCTTGAATTACTAACTAAATTTCATCAAAATCGGACGACTATATCATATAGCTGTCATATAAACAATAGTCGAAAATATGGAAAATTAATAGAAAAAAAATGCTGTTTAGCCTTTATGTATTTAGTAAAACTCTTTGATGTCTGCAAGGGTATATAAGCTTCGGCTTGCCGAAGCTAGCTTCCCTTCTTGTTTTGTTTAGCTTTGATTTTGGTGCTCTTCCTGGGCTATTCCCCATAGTCAATTTTAGACATAATAATTGAATTAATTACATAATTTATCGTTTTAATGTGGCAGTTGAAGCTTGTGCTGGAAAGCCATTTTATAATATTAAGTCTTTTGGCTATTTGTAATAATTTATCTATGTGCTGGTCCCATTTCTACTGATTAGTTATAGTGATATATAATATTTTTAAGATTTTTCATTTCTATACCCTTGCAGAGCAAAAAGGTGTTATAATTTCAGTCAGGAGTTTGCAACGCAGTGACGAAGACACCTCAGACCCCATAAAGGATATGCGGAGAGGAACACGCTCCATTGCAGTGGAGCGCACCCGTCGTCGTACAGAGGATGCCCTGCTTATAAAAAGGCCAAGGCGAACATTGCACCAAAAGCTCATCCAGTGCTGTCAAACATGGCTCCAAACGCTTCTCATCCAGTACTGTCAAACGGCACACGCCAGTTCTACCCAACCGTAGACACAACAGCTCGATGCTATGCCGACATAGTCAAGGCCTGAGCTGCCCCAGGCGGACCAAGTGACGGCCTTCATGGAAAGGATGGAGAAATTGCTTGAAGAAGGAATGGATAAGATGTTGAAACAGATGACGTAATGCTCAGCTCCATATTCCCACAGGTCTGCAACAAATAGGTTTGCACTTAACCTTCTGGAACGCTAACGGCCTAGTAAACCACAGGCTAGAAGTGGAACATTTCCTCCATACAGGTGACTGAGAGTCAATTTGAACTATTGATGAGAGACAAGGGTAAAAAATTTGTTCTAGCTGGAGACTTCAACGCGAAACACCAGTGGTGGGGAAGTCGAGTAAGCAACCCCAAGGGAAATGCACTACATAGTTGTATACAGCGCAGAGGAATTGACTGTCTCTCCACAGGAGAACCATCCTACGGATATGCGGCACGAAGAATTACATGCACTTCAGGACCACCCCATAGTACCCTACATCTTCAATAGAGCAACTAAACAACTGAAGGCGAGACTCCAAGCACTGAAGCGAAGTGCGTTCGAAGAGCTCCTCAGCGAGATAGAACCAGGGGATCCACAACATAATCTGCGGCGTGTTACAAAATGCATCCAAACGAACATCGCGGATATCGACCCGGTCACAGTCAAGGAGGTTGAAGCCGAAATCAAGGGGCTCAAAAACAACAAGTCGCCTAAAATCGACGCCATCAAGGCAATCCCCATAAAACGCCTCCCATCACTTTGATCCAGCTGCTCAAGAACATATTTAATAGATGCTTCCGAATAGGCCGCTTTCCCCCCGTGGAAAAAAGCGGAAGTAATTTTGATTCCCAAGCCCGGAAAGCCCGAAGCCAATCTCGCATCTTACCGTCCGATTAGTCTACTGGCAATACTCTCCAAAATATTCGAAAGAATATTTTTGCGCAGAGTAATGCCCCTGTCGGACGAGTATGGTTTGATCACAAATCACCTGTTTGGCTTCAAACGCTCCCACTCAACCCCAGAGTCACCACAATTCTGAATGCTTTCGAGGAAATAAAATACTGCTGCGATGTGCTACTAGACATCAAGAGGGCCTTTGACAAAGTTTGGCATCCAGGACTTCTGTTAAAAATAAGTCACAGTTTACTACGTTCTTACCTGAAGAAAAGGGAACTGCCCACCGGTTACCCTCATCAGAATTGCAATCCTGGTTGATCCAACCCCAAAGTATCTTGAAATGACCCTCCGGCCCACGTTCAGAGAAAGGACTGAACGAAATTGAAGACCAGGCATAAGTTACTGGTCTACTATACGATCGTTTAACCTATAGAAACCTTCAGAATCCAACTATGGGGTACGCCAACCTATTCAAACCGTTGCACTATGGGCCAAAAGCCCAAATTTTTGGCATAAATGATACTTTTTTTTGTAAAATAATTTATTTTTGTTTAATTTTTTGGTTTCTTTAATACTGAAATGATATAAAAAAAATTTTGGAAATATTTTTTAGAATTTTTTCTGCGCGCTTTTAAAGTCAGCTGTTCAGTGTCGTTATGTTTTAGCCAAAAAACGCGGGAAAATGTTCATAATTTGCAGCTAGTAAGTCAATTAAAGCGAACAGTCAAAGCTGAAAGTGTCTTAATGGAAAATAAAGGTCAAGGTATGTAAATTTATAATTTCTAAACTTTTTACTATATTTATATATGTTTGTGTTGTTTTGTCCAATGTGTTGCAAATCTGTTGTTGTTTTAGGTTATTCTAACAAAAGTACATGTGTTCTGTTCGCGCCAGAGCGGCGCTTTCCAGTCCTTTTTGAACCGCCCCTGGAGTCTTAACAGTCGTGAGAGCAGTTCTTCCAGATCACTTGCATCTCGCTCTCTGGCTCTGTTAAGGGTCTCCAATCCGCTCTCGGAGCGGCTCAAAAAGTTTCCACCCCGTAGTTTAAGTTAGTTCTAATTTCCAAGTGTGAGAGTGAAGTCCGACCAATAAAGTGAAGTTTTTATAACGTTTAACGAAAACTTTGCCCGCGTTATTAATTCTACCCCCTAAAACTGAACGAGAAGCTGCAAGACCCAAACCCAAAATTGAGAAGGAAGGAAGACCCGCCGCCCTACACCCCAACATTTTGATCCATCGACCGGATTATTTTCAACAACTACCAGCGACCACACCGGCGGAGTTCTGAGCGCTATTCAAATTCAAGATAAGTACGAATTTTCCATATTTCCGTGGCCGACCAGTCAGATATTTCCCAAGATCCCAATTTTCTTATATCTGTCTGATCGGCTAGTTCTATTTGTGCATACGATCGCCATATTCCGGCTTCTTTTTCGTATTGCTATTTCCACCTTTATACGATCGCCATATTCCGGCTTCTTTTTTTCGTATTGCTATTTCCACCTTTATACGATCGCCATATTCCGGCTTCTTTTTTCGTATTGCTATTTCCACCTTTATACGATCGCCATATTCCGGCTTCTTTTTTCGTATTGCCATTTTCCGGCTTTGCTCTCCTTACATTTCCCAATTTACATACATACATAAACACATAAAATCTAGATGTATGCTTTTTAATGTACGTACATATGCTTGACGGTCTCAACATATGTACATAAGGAGAAACATTTACACACTTCTATTCGCGGTATATCCAGCTAACATTTCGAGAACGACATTTACAATACAGTCCACATTATATACAGTTTCCAAAATTACAGCAAAAAGTGCAAAGAGAAATAAAAATAAATCCGAAATTAAAATTATTTTGTGTGAGCAAAGATCTTTTCCAGTGTGTGTATTCCAAGTGCATTTACATAAGCAGCAAGCAAGGAACGAAAGCTCTGCATATGTGCATTGCATGCGTCCAGCATTAAAATCAAAGAGCAATAATATAAATAAAGAGTGTTGTGCGTGAGCTGGGGCAAGCATATTTTCGTTGCCCACTGTGTTTCATTCCAAGTGCTTTTGACATCCAAATATATATACATATGTACACGCACATATGTATGTCAAAGCCCAAATAATTATAGTGACACACATATCAATCCAAACACACATATCCATACATACACACATATCCATACATACAATCATATAACCCAAATGCATGCTTATTAATGTACGTACGTACATATGCCCGTAACGTAAGGCGGTATACCCATTTGGAACGCAACATTTACACATATGCCCGTAACGTAAGGCGGTCCACCCAACAAAGATTTCAAAAGCGACATTTACAACATAGCCAATATCATTTATAATTTATAAATAAAATATAAAATATAATAAAAAACAATTTATTATATATTATATATATTGCAAAATAACCCGATTCCACCGAACACAATTTATTATATTATACATATTGGAAAAATATCCTGAGTCCATCGAACACAATTTATTATATTATACATATGGGAAAAATTTCCTGATTCCACATCAACTCTATAAGCCGTTCCAACTTTTGCATGATATTTATTTCAGCAGCGCTATTTCGCACACGCCGTCGGCACACATCCATTAAATAAATAATAAATAAATAAATCCTTTTTGTGTAAGCCGTGGCGGTGCGAATCGTATTTATTTCCATATTCCTTGCGATCATTTCCGCAGCTCAGCAAGCAACTGCAAATATTTTGCAAAACATTTTTTGTCGAATTTTTTGATATTTTGCTCGCACATCAAAGCAGTGGTTCCAAAAACCAAAAAAAAACTTTTAATTGGTACAACTGTTCCGTTTCCACATATTCCAAAAATAGACCGGAGCTGCTACGCTAAGAACGAACACAAGCGGACCGCTTGCAATTGTCTATCACGAGGAATCGAAGCAGCCACTGCGCTTTATTAATTTTTTTGTTTGTTTTCTTGAATCAAAATCAAATTAATTCCATACGTTTTTTGTCGCGTCGCATACATTGACATTGTTGACATTCCGCTATTAAAATTTTCGATATTTGGAGCCGCACCTGTATTGATCGGAAGTCATCGATTCCATCCTTCCGTTTCCTTTCAAATACACCCCGGTGATCCGCAACAGCGGAACCACATTCCAGTACAGACTTTTCCGGAGTGTCAAATTACCACAAAGCCAGCCAGGGTTGCCTAGTTAATCTGATTTCGGGAATGCCAGAAGACAAAACAAAGTTATCGGTTCCGTCTGCAAATAAAACGCGATCGCTATCCGCTTCTCCTCGCGCGCGCACCTCAAGCGCAGTAGTTCCGACATCAATAACCAAGGCAAAGAGCGAAACTTCATTAGACACCCAAGAGGGCGAAAAGAAGTTGTCTGTTCCTACGAGCAATCCGAAACGATTGTCGCTCACGCCTAAGGTTAGGTCACAGATCCAGACCAAGTCCGTAAAGTCGCTGGCAACTCGTTCTCAGGCAAAAATGAGCAACGACATTGCAATTGCAGCCCTCGCGCGGTTCATAACGGTGTCCGACCGCATGAGCAATTTCAGAGCGACCATAGAAACTCCAGGGCCGTCAGCTCCGTCCGTCCACACCTGCAAAGTCCGTAAGGAACAAGTCCGCTCACTCTGGGAAAAGGCCGAAAAAGAATTCGAAGCGTGTTTAGACACGATTTCCAGCATTACGACTGAAGGAGCGGAGGAGATTCTGGCGACTCTGCATCGAAAGTATGAATATTGCTATTCGGTGTACGAGGAGCTATCAGTTCATCTCAGCGAGCTGATGGACCAAGCCACTCCGCAGCAGTCGACAGCGAGCACCACTAATCAGTCCGCTTACATTTCGTCTGGGTGCCGGTTACCACCATGCGATACAGAAGTATTCGAAGGAGATTACCTAAAATGGCCAACATTTAGGGACCTGTTTACAGCAGTCTATGTCAACAATCCTAGGTTGACACCGGTCGAAAAGCTTTTCCATCTCAATGCTAAAACTAGCGGCGAGGCTAAGGCAATCGTAGCCAAGTCCCCTCTCACAAATGAGGGTTTCGACTCAGCATGGGCAGCGCTTCGAGACCGTTTCGAAAATAAAAGACTGCTAGTAAACAGCCAACTCAAACTCCTGTTTAACTTGGCGTCCGTCAGTTCCGAATCAGGCCAGGCTCTGAAAGATCTTCAGAGCACAATCCAAGGGTGTTTGGTCGCTCTGGCTCATTCCAAAATTTCCACAGAGAATTGGGACTGTCTCCTGGTATTCCTGTGCGCCAGTAGATTACCGAAACTGACCCTCTCCTTATGGGAGCAGTCCCTTTCATCGAAGTCCGACATTCCGACTTGGGATGAGATGAACACGTTTCTTGGTGACCGATACCGAACGCTAGAGGCGATTGAGGACATGAAACCAAGTCACAGCAATCACTCTACCACTAAGAGTCAACCCGTCTCCAGGAGGCTCAACTCCTTCGAAGCTAAAGTGGTTTCCAAACCGAAGAATTGCGATCTGTGCTCAAAGGAGAATCATCCAGTCCGCTTATGCCAGCGTTTTCTCCAGATGTCTGTCGATGCGCGGACCAACTACATCAAGAAGAAACAGCTGTGCCTAAATTGTTTCGCGAGAGGCCATCAGCTACGTGAATGTACGAGCACTCACAGCTGTTTCACATGTCGAGCTCGGCATCATACGTTGCTCCATAAAGGCAACCCCAATTCCAGTGGGTCAACTACGGGAAATATTTCTTCTGCAAGCCCACAAAATCCAACTGTACAGAGGGCCGCCAACGCTTCAGAAAATCTGCCCGGTGTGCAGAATTATTTCGCAACCGGTGCCAGAGCGGTTTTACTAGGTACGGCCATCATTGACATTTGCCACTTGGGCACGAACTACAGGGCTCGCGCTCTAATAGACTCGGGTTCTGAGGCTACGTTTATTACGGAACGCCTGTTCAATTTAATTAAGCTGCCATTCCGCCTCATCCAAGCCCAAGTTTCGGGCTTAAATAAGACCATTTCCGCTCAGGCGACCAGGCTCTGCCATTTTTCGATTCGAGCTCCTAATAAGCCAGGCCTTCAGCTAGAAACCGCAGCTTACGTTCTGCCTGAATTGGCCGGAACGCTACCGTCCTATCCAATCCCACGAGATGCGCTGAGTGATTTACCTGCTATCCCCCTGGCAGATCCTACATTTCTTGAGAGCTCCCAGATAGATGTTCTGATCGGAGCCGACATGTTACCATCCGTTCTGCTGAGCGGCATGCGCACAAACATTTGTGGCTCTCTCCTAGGTCAAGAAACTATTTTTGGCTGGGTGCTTACCGGCCCAGTTTCAAGTACATCTAGTCAGAATCGAGTATCCGCTTTCACGACCCAGATAACCGAAACGAGTGACAGAGTCTTAGAAAAACTTCTCACTAAGTTTTGGGAGGTGGAGAATATACCCACTAAAAGGGTAAAGGACTCCGATTCCTATTGCGAAAACAATTTTCTCCAAACGACCACTAGAGACGCAAGCGGGAGATACGTAGTATCTTTACCATTTCGCGAGCCTGAAAATCTCGGGTCCCAATTGGGGCACTCGCGATCCAGTGCCCTAGCTCAGTTTCTTAGAAACGAAAACCGTTTGAAGAGAGACTTTCCATTAAAAGAGCAGTATGACTCAGTCATTCAAGAGTATTTGGATCTGGGTCACATGAGAGAAATTCCCCCGTCGTACGATTCTCCAAACTATTACCTGCCACACCACGCGGTGATCAAACCCGAGAGCACTACCACCAAACTTCGCGTGGTATTCAATGCTTCTAGCCCTTCATCCAATGGGACAAGCTTGAACGACATTCTTCATGCTGGTCCAGTCCTACAATCTGATTTAACCATTCAGATATTGAAGTGGCGTTATTTCCAGTACGTGTTCAGCGCAGATATCACCAAGATGTACCGTCAAATCTGGGTCGATCCCAAACATACGCCGTTCCAGAGAATCTTATTCCGGAATAAAGAAGGAGAAGTAAGCGATTTCGAGTTAAAAACAGTCACCTTTGGTGTTAACTGTGCACCATTTCTGGCACTCCGCGTACTCCAACAATTGGCAGACGACGTAGAAAAGGACTTCCCTACAGCAAGCAATATTATTCGTCACTTTATGTACGTAGACGACGTTCTGGCAGGGACCACTTCCATACAAGAGGCTCGACTGGCAATCAGCGAACTTCGCCACGCTTTCAGCAGCGCCAGGTTCCCATTGAGAAAGTGGACGGCCAACCAGAAGAGCATACTCGAAGACATCCCAAACGAGCATCTACTCCACGAGGACTTTCGCGATCTTCATTCCGAAAGCTTTGCCAAAACACTGGGCGTTCGGTGGAATGCGACCTCGGACGAGTTCTGTTTTGTTCCACCGCCAGTGTCGATTAAATCCACTCATACGAAGAGAGAGGTTCTTTCCCAAATTGCGAAGCTTTTTGACCCAGCCGGATGGCTGTCTCCGTTTATTGTCCGCTCAAAAATCTTTATGCAAGAAATTTGGTTGCAGGAGTTGGGCTGGGATGAAAACATCCCCACAGAAATGGATCAAAGATGGCAAGATTTTTTGCGCAGCTATTCCGAGCTTGAGCAGATCCGCATTCCAAGGTGGGTTGGTTTCCAGCCAGGAGTGAAGGTAGAGCATCACGGGTTTTGTGATGCGTCTCAGAAGGCTTATGGGGCCGCTATATACTTGCGGGTGGAAGTAGGCCACAACATTATGACACGTCTGCTTACCGCCAAAACCCGAGTCGCCCCTGTTAAAACGGTGTCCCTTCCACGGCTCGAGCTGTGTGGGGCATTGCTGTTGTCAGAGATGATTGCAGCTATCCTTCCGAATATGCCAATTTCCAATTCCGACATTTTCTGCTGGACCGATTCCACCATCGTCCTCGCATGGTTGAGCAAGCCGGCATGCCACTGGACCACGTTTGTCGCCAACCGGGTGACAAAAATTACTCAGGTGACGAGCGCTGAGCATTGGGCGCATGTGCGATCTGAGCACAATTCCGCGGACCTGGCCAGTCGAGGCGTTTCGCTGCGGGAGCTGGTTCATAGCCAACTCTGGTGGGAAGGACCGGACTGGTTGCAACAGCCAAAGGACATGTGGCCAACACGGGAGCTAGGACCTCCAGTCACAGACATAGAGCAGCGTGCTGTGAAGGTCAATTTCGCCAAGGCCCCATCCGAAGATTTTTTGGAACGTTTCTCCGCGTTGGACAAGGCTCTGCGGGTCCTTGCGTACGTAATACGGTTCACTCAACGCTGCCGCAAGATGCCGAGGGACGCTGCTGAGCGACCCACCAAGGAAGAAATCCAAGAAGCTGAAAGAGTCCTTATTCGAAATGCTCAGCGGGGAGAATATACCCAAGAGCTCAAAGTCCTAAACGATAAGCGTCCGATTCCGGTTTCCAGCCCGATAGCCAACCTGTTTCCATTTCTAGACCAACAAGGCCTGTTAAGGGCATGTGGGCGCATTACGGCCTCAACGGCCCTCCAGTACGACGAGCGGCATCCTATTATACTGCCATACAACTGTCGGTTAGCTCGTCTTCTCGTCCTTTTTCACACCAGATTTCCCTGCATGGCGGCAACCAACTAGTGGTACGCCTCATCCGATCGAAGTATTGGATTCCTAAAATCAAAAATCTGGTAAAAGCTGTGCTGAACTCCTGTAAGGTGTGTACTATTTACAGGAAGAGAGTCCAGACGCAATTGATGGGCGATCTCCCGACCGATCGAGTTTCCTTTTCCAGGCCATTCACATATACGGGCATGGATTATGCAGGCCCGTTTGAAATTAAAAACTATACTGGCAGAGCATGCCTTATTACCAAGGGATATGTTTGCGTGTTTGTGTGTTTTTCCACGAAGGCTATCCATTTAGAGCCTACGTCCGACCTGACAACGGAGAAGTTCCTCGCAGCATTTGCCCGATTCGTCGCAAGAAGAGGTTGTCCTCAGCGAGTCCATTCGGATAATGGCAAAACCTTTGTGGGGGCAGCGACTCTACTTTCTAGAGATTTCATGCAGACGATCAAGGAGTCTGTAGCTGGAACCTATAGCCATCAGGGACTTGTGTGGCGGTTCATTCCACCAGGGGCTCCACATATGGGGGGATTGTGGGAGGCTGGAGTAAAGAGCTTCAAGGCACTCTTTTACAAGTCGACGTCAAGTCGGAAGTACACGTTTGAAGAGTTCGCCACGCTTCTCGCCAAAGTTGAAGCCTGCCTTAATTCCAGGCCGCTGTCTCCCATGTCCGAAAATCCATCTGAGTTATTGGCATTGACGCCAGGCCACTTTCTGATTGGGGGACCTTTGCTTTCAACAGCTGAGCCTGAAATTAAGGGCGATGCTCAGTCGATTATAAATCGCTGGCAGCACTTAAAGGCCCTGCATCAGCAGTTCAGTGCGCGATGGAAGGAGGAGTACTTAAAGGAACTTCACAAGCGCAATAAGTGGCAGACTCCTTCCAGAGATATCCAAGTCGATGACATGGTGGTTGTCAAAGAAGACAACATGCCATCAAACGAATGGCGGCTCGGCAGAGTTGTATCTGTTCTTCCAGGAGCCGATAGTAGAGTTCGCGTAGTTGAGATCCGTACTGCTCGAGGGACTATAACACGTCCCATCCACAAACTAGTACTTCTTCCTATGGAGGACAAGGCAACCTCCGCCTTTCCAAAATAATGCATTCTGTCCTCCTTCTAGCACTTCTTTCTATGGAGGCCAAGGCAACCTCCGCTTTTCCAAACTAGTGCCTTCTGTCCTTATGCTTCAAAATCCGTCCACAATTGATACTAAGTTCGCTTATATTTTTTTATTAAAGCATCGATACCATGGCTCCACGTCCTCGCAGCGCCCAAACTTTGGACGACAGACGTTCTCGAGGTACTCGCTCCTACCGCTGCCGAGTCTGTCGGGGAATCCATCCGCTACGGAAGTGCAGCCGTTTCCTCAGGCTCAGCACGGAGAAGCGGCTCCGCGCCGTTCTTATAAATAAATATTGTGCGAATTGCCTGGCGCATCAGCACTCCGGAGGGCAATGTCGCAGTGGCGACGCATGCAAAAAATGCGGGAAGGATCACCACACGCTGCTCCACCTGCACGAGATGCCCAGGAGTCCTCGACGAACGCCCATCCAGCCACGCCGCCAGTCGCCTTCCCCTCAACGCCGTCCATCGCCCTTCGAGCAACGTCGCGCATCGACCGTTCGCCTGTCGAGATCAGTCTCCCGGTCTCCGTCACCACCAGCAAGGCAGGCACTGGTACGACGACCAGCTCCAGCGGCAACTCCATCCGTAGCGGCTCTAGCGCAGCACCAGAGCCTCCACATTCTCCCGACGGCCATCGTGTTGCTGGAATCTGGGACCACCACCTTCGAGACGGCCGCATTGATCGACCCGTGCACTCCCGTCAGCACCATCGACAGCTCCCTGGCAACTGCCTTCAAGCTCCCCACGACTACAGTGGGGGGTGAGGAGGTCTGCTCGACGACGATCCGGTCGAGAACGGGCGATTTCCAGATCGAGGTGCTCCTGAAGATCAGCCCGAAGCTACGCATCCGTACCCCGATCCGCGCGCTGACTGAAGATATGCGAGCCCAGTTCAACGATATCCGTCTTGCCGATGAGCAATTCCATCGCCCAGCAACAGTCTCGCTGGTGTTGGGCTCAGACGTATACCCCGACGTCATCCGGCCCGGGTTCCTAAATATACGAGATGGGCTGCCCGTCGCACAGAGCACGGTATTTGGATGGGTCGTGTCTGGAGCATGCAGATACGCCTAATCCGTTGCTTCGCTCGTCCTCGCAAGGGGGGAGAACGTTCGCGCCAGAGCGGCGCTTTCCAGTCCTTTTTGAACCGCCCCTGGAGTCTTAACAGTCGTGAGAGCAGTTCTTCCAGATCACTTGCATCTCGCTCTCTGGCTCTGTTAAGGGTCTCCAATCCGCTCTCGGAGCGGCTCAAAAGTTTCCACCCCGTAGTTTAAGTTAGTTCTAATTTCCAAGTGTGAGAGTGAAGTCCGACCAATAAAGTGAAGTTTTTTATAACGTTTAACGAAAACTTTGCCCGCGTTATTAATTCTACCCCCTAAAACTGAACGAGAAGCTGCAAGACCCAAACCCAAAATTGAGAAGGAAGGAAGACCCGCCGCCCTACACCCCAACATGTTCTGTTAAGGTTTTCTTTTAAGTGCCTCCAAGTGCCTTGAAGGTAAAATTGTAATGTTTTTAACAAATTATTATAAAATCAATTTTAAGTAATGGTTTTTGCCCGTTTTTGCCCCTTTTCGAAAAAACAATACATGTTGCAGGTGTTTATGAGTTCTCTCATGCAGCGCTCCTCGAAGTTTGGGAGGAAAGCAACCGGAAAGTCGACGCTGTTAGAGGTTTTGTAATAAAACGAATAACAGAAAGCGACAGGATTGACTTATCTGAAGACCATATGGGGGAAATACTAAATAAAGTTAAATATTTCATTAACTATGTTAAGTGAAACTTACCGAAATGGTTTGGTTCGAAAATGGTTATACACATTGACAAGCAACCAGTCATTTTGAAAACTGGGAGAAAAAAGTCGAATTATGAAGATGCAGGACCTCGCCTTAAAAGAAAATTAGCATCTGAGTTGGCTTCAGAAGAAGCTCATTCAACATCTCTCCTTTTACACGCTGCCTCAGTTTCAGCAAAAAGTCTAAGGAACCAGAAGTAGCCTTTTTATTAAGGAAAGCTAAAAGCAGTGAAGACATAAACGATTTAAAAAAAAAAAACTTAATATGAATGAGCCGATTCCAATAAGTCCTGATAGTGCACTGGCATTTTTTATTGAAAAAGGGGTTTACAAAGCAGCAATATTTAAATATAAGAGCACTAAAGAAGCAACAAGGATGTGATATTTTCCCTTCATACAATCAAATTGCCGAATCCAAATTGAAATGCAGACCACTGGATATTAAAATCTGTGAAACGAAAGCGGAAGTCTCATTCCAAAATTTGCTGGATCATACAGCTCACCGCATACTTGCAATGCAAGGGAAAGTTTTTGATATTTGGCCAGATGCAACAGAATGCACTTTAATTGTGAGCTATGGGTTCGATGGATCTACTGGACACAGCACATATAAGCAACGATTTGAATTGAATGAATCTGTCGGCTTAAATCATTCGCCTTTCGTTACCACAGTTATACCGTTAAAGCTAATAGATCAGCATCATCGGGTTATTTGGATTAATAGGACTCCACAGTCAGTGAGATTTTGTCGACCTTTGAAAATTGAGTTCGTGAAGGAAAGTACTGCACTGATTTTAAAAGAAAAAAAATCTGGACGTGGAAATAGAAAACCTAAACGTATTATCTTATAGCTACAAAAGCAATATAATAACTGTAAAATACCAAACTCATATTACTTTAATCCAGGGGTGCTCAAATTCGTCTTATGGCAGTGCGTTTACTAACACACCCACAAGAAAACGTGTACATATGTAGCGGCGCGTTCGAGTTGGGGCGCAGCTGTGCACTGTGAGAAAAAAAAAAGTTTTAAATATTTATTTTTGGTTTTTTTTTTCTACATTTGGTTTAAAAAAGATTCAATATTTATATTAATTTTAGTGGTTGATAATTTCAATTTAGCTTCCAGATTATTATTATTTAGTCGATTTCTATAATTATTTTTTATTAATTTTAAGGTTGAAAAAGCGCTTTCACAAATATAAGTGCTTCCAAACATCGAATACATCATTAGAATTTTATTCCGAAGAATCTTGTATTTTTTTGCACCTTCGGATTTCCAGAAATCCAGTCCTTTCAAATTGCATGACTTTAATTCAAAGTTTCAGTGCATGTGCTCGAGGAAAAACCAAAAACAAAATACATTGCGTTCAGCGAAGCGTGACGACGGATAGAGATGTAATGAAGAAACAAGCAAAATTGTTTTTGTTTCGCATGCAAATCGAAGCCCATATGCACGGTGCTTATGCGCGCACTACCCATAAGCACAGAGCATCTACAAAAACAAAAGTGCACTCAGTGTATAGGCGTTGAGCACCGCTGCTTTAATCGATGGTAAGGTCTTAAACATTGTAACCGGAACCAATTCGTGCCAATCATGTCCGTTATGTGGAGCAAAGCCTACTCAATTGCTTAAAACAACAGATTTTAACTCGCCAATTTTTAATGTGAAATCAGAAAATTTAAAATATGGAGTGAGTCCGCTTCATGCATGGATACGGTTTATGGAGTTTGCTCTGCGAATTTCCTATCGAATTGAAGCAAAGACATGGCACGTCAAAGGAGATGAAAAGCTTAAGGTATCCTTGCTTAAAAAAATGTTCAAGAGAAGTTGTGGACTGAGCTTGACCTTAATGTAAATACACCAAAACAAAATGGAAGCGGTAATAGCAATGACGGAAATACCGCAAGACGGGTATTCTCAAATAGTATAATATTTTCGGCTATCTATTTCTTCTAAGCATATTATTGACTCCGAAAAATTTAAATATTTGTGTAACAATACTTTTTAATTTATATATAAAACTGTATTCTTGGTATCCAATGTCCCCAACCGTACATAAAATATTGGTACATGGACACAAAATTATGAACCAGTTTATTGTTCCAGTTAGTGTCATTGGAGAAAACGCATCTGAAGCGCGAAACAAATTGTACAAGAGCGATCAAAAGTCTCATTCCAGAAAATGCAGCCGATTAGCAAACATTGAAGACGTCTTTCATCGAGCACTGGACTCTTCCGACCCATTTCTCTCTACAATTTGTTTAAAAAGAAAGGGAAAAAAAATCCAAAAAAAGTCCTTTCAAAAGAAGTCATTGATCTACTCGACGTTCCTGATCCAGAACTATACAAGACCGGAAAGCCGGATGGAGAAACAGACGAAGAAGATTTTTTTTGTTTAGATAATATTATTTTGGATACAGAAATTGGAAATGAAAATTAGTTCAATAATATAATATAATGATAAAAATATATTTTGTAAGTGTATTATGCTTTTCATTTGTGTTGATTTTGGGGTTGTATTTAAAACGACCTTACTATTTTTACTAATAAATACGACATATGTATGTGAAATGTGTATGGGGAAAGGCGTAGTCAGAATAACACAAAATTTTTTTCGAAATTCTATTTTATCCTCCCTGATATTCGTGCAAATTTTCAGAATCTTACGTTCATTTTTAGAGTTTATGCCAAAAATTTGGGCCTTTGGACCATAGTGCGTTGAAGCGACTTCAAAATAAGGCATTAAGAATAGTCTCGGGCGCTCATCCTTCGGAGTATGGAGTATGGAGTACTGCATCGTACTCAAATCGTAGAAGCACACAGCGGCTTCAAAACAAGGCAATAAAAATGGACTCGGGCGCTCATACACAACCGAGGTCATCCACGACGCGCTTGCAGAATCCTGGGTAAAGGATTACATCAAAAAGGCTAGCAAAATACCCAACCCAAAATAACTCCCACCCAGTAAACTTTATAAAGTTTCCTCGTGAATGTAACTCAAGAACACAATTTAATTATTGCCCTAACTGGGACAGATTTTAAGTATTTAAAAATTAATACAGAACAAATAATATAATATAATAGTTTTTGAACCCCCTTTCTAGAAATCGGGTGATTTCAAAACAACAACAACGACACCGTTATTGATAAGCCCGAGCTTACCTTGTGAAGCGCGCAA